ACAAAACACTGCTGATTGTAAAATTCAGTGCACTTGCAATTCTCTTCATCCACCATCCTGGAAATTTATCAGAATATTTTCCTTATATTCTCCATTACTACACAACATCCTGTACACTGGATAAATCCTTTTAGCCATCGTTTTGCTTAAAATAAAAATCCTCCCCAGGATAAAGTCAGGTCATCAGTGTCCTGGACTTTTCCCTTTTATTTCACATTTCATAAGTAATTATATGAAAATAAGAAACAGAAGAATATGTTACCCTTCTAAATGCGAAAATCGAAAAAAAAGTCAAAGCTTACCGATGTTAAAAAGATCTCGCAAAATTTTGAAAGGCAGCTTTGCTGTACTCACAATTACACCATCTTCTCCAGTATTTGCTAAAAAAAACAAATTAGTGGGCATGAAAACAGCTGGCAGAAGACGATAAAAGAAAACATCACAAATCGGCTCTGCTTCGCTTCGGTCTCAGATAAAACTAATTCAAGTAAAACAAACTTTAGCAGGCTCAAAAACAAGGGGAAAAACGGCTAATGTACTTACAAATGCCGAAGGCTCGAAGGAGTAGTAGAAATACGAGCAAAGGGAACAACCATTTCCAGAATATCGAGCAGCATCTCGTCACATTCCGCACAGGAAACAGGCGTCTAAAAGAACTGCTCTAAAACACATCAACAGGAGAACAGGCCTGGTCATGCGGGGCAGGATAAAGATGAGAAATGAATAAAACTTATGTTACGTGGTACCCACGCATATGTCATAAAGGCAGTCCGTGAGGTGATGGGACCCATCGGAAAGCCTACATTGATTATGTGGATGAGAAAAGCTCAAAACTGAACGGAAATAAAAAGTTGCCTGTGGTGCCAACGGTCTGAAAAAATACAGAAATGGGAAAACTAGAAAACTTACAAAGACTGATAGCGCAATGATTCAAATTTTTCTCCTTCCCCTACCTCGCAGCACATTTCGAGAGGTAATACACAAAAATTAGGGGGAAAATGAGGGATGAAAGTGGATGCTTCAAGAAATGAGCTGGAAATTTGGTTACCCCGGAATGTGCCCTCCTTCACCTGATTTTTGATTATGTTCATACCTTGGTATTTGTAAAACTGTTCTGCATTTTCTACAGTTTTTGAGACTAAATTTCGCAGTTTTTCAGAAAACTACGTGATTTTTTAAATGCAAGATTTCTAAAAGATGCAGGTGAAAAAAAAAAAAAAATGAGGTCGACAGACCTCAACAAATAACCTCAGTCATTTCTGATTCACAGAACAATGTACGGTACCCACTAAATGAGGCAAGTTTTTGCAATCGCAGCCAAAATCACTGTGATCATCGGAGCCAAGGAGTATAAGTTTGTAAAAACAATCAAAGGCGAACCTTTCACCACGAGTTACTGTTCTGGTGTGTGTTTGTCGCAGTGTGCCACCAGCTGCTGGACTTAGTTCGCTTGTTACCAGTCTCTTTGTCACCGGTCTCACCTCTTCATATCCGACCAGCAGCGCTGCCTTTGCTCCAAATCTGCGTAAAAAAATAAAGTGCACATCACACATTTCAAAATAAAAATATCGACATTCAATACAGTGGAGGAAAAAATGCAATTTCAGTGAAACCAAATTAAAATGAACTTAATACACATCAAACAATTCCTCCTCATTTCTTTTAAACGTTTCATAGAAATCGGGAAACTTGGGATTAACGAATCGGGAAAAGCAGAAAATCGCGCAAAACCAGATTTTCACAACAAAACAAAAATTATTTCTCACATACATGAACACACACACACACACATGTACACAAACACATGCACACACACACACACATGCACATGAGCACACACACACACACATACACACACGCACATGAGCAAACACACACACAAACACATGCACACACACACACACACACACACACACACAGACACAACAAAACCTTTTAGTTCTTACAATTGTGCATTTTGTGATGCTGCGCTTGACAATGGCAAAAGTCTTTATTCCAAAGACTTTGACATCATAAATGTATAAAAA